TATACCGATTACAAAAGATACATTAAACTATATTATTTTATTACACATTTGTTAATTCTATTAAAAGACTGTACAAAAATGCATAAAAACTTTCATACTAAATACGATTGACATTGAGTAGGCCAGTGCAGTTCCTATATAAATGTTCACGCTTTCTCGCTATGTTATAACAATTAACAGTTAACAAAAACAAGAATCGATATTTTTCAAAATTGATATCCCTTTTGAATGACAAGGCATCATTGATTTTTGTAAATCGTCATTCATATAACTCGCTGCCTTTTCGATAATTTCTTTATTTATTTTAATATCTTTAATATCTTTATTTATTAAATCTTTAATATACATTCTATATCTTATTTGTCCTTTGGTTTATCATTTAGTCAGACAGAAAAGTTTCTGAATCAGAAAATATTTCATTACATTAGAAAAATGACTGTACAAAAAGGAAAAAAAGTAGCATTTTTATCCTACAATAAAAATTAAATATTATATTATTCGAATTTGACTATCTACTTATTATTATTCGAGAAAAATCTTTTACATCCCGAGTCTCCGTTTATTCTTTCTTAAACTTCAATGAAAGATCATATAAAAAGAGGCTTCACAGATATATGGCCCATCAATTTTAGAATATTTTGCATTTTCATTTGTTCGAGGATTCAAGGATTTTAAATGATCACACTGAAGAAAATGATATTGGCACCTAATGGTTGATTTAAATCTATCTCGCCTCTTTTCTATGGTCCCCGGTTGGTCTAACATTTCGCAATTAAACACTACTTTCACCACGACCAACCAGCGTGATCGGATACACGTATTTCTTTCGTTTCGCGTTAAAGAAAGGCGAATTATGTTGTCCATGTGTAGGTGTTGGTGATAATCCACGTAGAAGAGGTAACGAAACATCACCAGGCATTCCTGTCGCATCAAATTTTTTCTTCCATTCTGCTCCTAAATCCGTAGCTGGCGCCATTAAACCTTTACACTCTGGAGAACTTCTCACACTGAGGAACACATCGTTGCTGCTATCACGTTGTCCAGAAGAACCCTGTGAAAAAAGCTACAATAATTTTTTCTCGTTCCAAAACTTTATAAAATTTCAAAATTTTATGTTACATGTCGAATAATTTATTACTTTAGCTTCGAAAAAATCCAAACTGGATCCGTTTGTCTCGTGTTCCTCCACAGAGAAACCTAATTGCACCCGGTTTGACGTTTGAGATGTCCTGGATGAATGGGAAGAGTTATGCGACGAGGAATTTTCGGACAGATCATCTCTACAGCAGGCAGCCGTACACACTCTTTGCTCTCTGCAATTTTCCCATTTTAAATATCATTCAATGATTTATTTATTAACATGGAATAATAACGAATTTAAAGGGGGGGGGAGGGGGAATTCTAACTACCTTCTGACGATAACAGAATCTCGTCTTCTTGGTACTGGCGGCGGAAGACCAGCGGTTAAGCTTTTGGCGCTTTCATAACTCGCTTCGCTATTACCGCTGCTTGTATTACTCCCATTGTTCCCTTCCCTCAGGAAGTAATTCTTCGCCGAAAGCATGGCGAAGTGAAGGTTGTTCTTCAAGTCGTCCGCCGCCGTTGACAAGTTTCCCGAGATTTTTGGTGTGCGTCTCATCGGGCGAGGTGGTGGTACCGGAGATGGTGGACTGCTCGACGCCTCCGACAATGTTTCCGGTGTAGCCAATGGCGCCGTTCGAGAACTGTCGTCCCAATCGCTTCGACGGTTCGATCTTCGCATTCAAAAGAAAAAGGATAATTTTTAATACAGTTCTTGTAATTAATCAGGGGAAAAAAAATTAAAGCAGCCAAAGAGCAACATTTTATGAACAAGAGATAAATGGGAGGAGGAAATAAGATTTCTTTTTATCGGAATAAAGTGTTCCTCTTGAGCTGCGAATTTTTTGAAGATAAGATTTTCCGTTCTATAATCTGATGGAATGCAATGATTTATGTGCACGATTGCCGAAGCGGTGAAAACTGTGAGTCGTGAAAAATAAGCGAGTGTTAATGAGAGCGTGACATATGAGATACCTTGAAATATATGGAACGATATATTTTTGATTATTTATAGGCGCGAATGACTTGAACGAGATCAGAAACGTAACGTTTCAAACATAATTAGACAGGTAACGGAAATTATTCAATGATTCTCGCAAAGTACAATGCGAATCATATAAGATACAGAATATTCTCTTGACCGAGAAAGAGTTTATCAAAACGACCAATTTGATTGCAAGAAAATGTCAATCTTTATCTCGTCAATGGCTCTCTCTTCTTTGCTCTAAAAGTCTTCATCGTAAATCTAATTCGTTATATCGGCGTCGATTGAACGATCAAATCCTTCGTCACGGAACGGCAGTTCGTCGTCCAGTTCGTTAAAATTGTCTATTCTTACGATTTACTCTCGTCGGCCCTGGGCGTGTTGAGCAATTCGCTGGCCAGACTGACGTACTCCCATGGAATCCCTCTCGAGTCGACGCTCAGCTCCCGGCCAGCCTGAGGGAATTCCGAGGGGCTTTGGAGGGACGTGAAGCTCGTCTCTAGGCAGAGTTTGTGCGGTGGCGTCCCAGCCATGTTGCTGGGATGCGATTTAACGGGGCTTGAGGACGAGAGCAATGCTCTCATCTCCTGCTCGATCTCCATCTCCTGGACCTCGGCGGTCTCCCGTGCCTCCGACGCCTCCGTCGATGATGCATGACCGGAAGCTAGCCTCTGCGGCTTCACCGGCCCCAGGGTCGTTACAACCTGACATATCCACACGCGTGTTTCCAATGTAATCGTTTCACCTTGCCTTCGTCGACAATTTCCGCATTACTTCGTGTTATGACAGTTAATGATGAAAACAATATCTTATTGTGATTCAAGAAGCAAATTTTATTTTATGATCGATGTTTGGTAAATAATTATTGATATACATATATAAATGTGGCATCGTGATGCGTGATAATGACGGATGATTATGTTGTGTGTACATTGATCGAATTTTTCATTACGAAAAGAAGGAAAGATTAAATTTGATGCAAGATAAGATGATTAAAGGTTCGCAGTTGTTTTGTCCCTCTCGATTCAATTGTATAGTGTCTTTGTTATTGAAAAAATTAATTTATAATATGAATTTATTTTCTTTATTATTTTCATTTTGAAATTTTAAATTTATTATTCAAGGAATTGGTGCAAATCAATGATCAATCGTAAGGAGATTATTTTATTAATTTAAGTAAGATTTTTGTAATTATTAATATATATATATATAAAATAATAATAGGAATAGATATATCTTCCATCGAAACGAAGAACTTAAACATTGATTTCAAGATTGTTTCGAAAAAGATAAATTATTAAATATTTTTCTACTCTGTATCTTTTTAAAAAAACATTCAAGTTCGATCAATTACTCTTATTGGAAACAGAGTATAAAATTTTATATATCTCGATTTTTGATGAAAAAGAATTTAGAATTTTGTAATCTAATATTACATAGACATGTTAAATAAAATTCTTAGTTTTAATTAATTTAACATGAAAATTCTTAGAGAATATTCATGAAAAATTTTACGTTTACGTTTACGAATAAAAAAATTTAATAAATATTAATACGAAATTTCGCTTACGTACATTTATAGAAATTATTTTTAGAAGCGAATTTTCTTTATTTATAATATAATTAAAATTTAAAAAAAGTGTAATTTTATGATAAAATATGAACGTGAATTGTTATTTTTTTCCTTGATGACGAAAAAAACATTAGAATATTTAAATATTCACTACATATATTTAACATACAATTAATGATATATTAATCATATTAGAAATTAAAAATCAAATATACGATGATTATGATAAACTAAATGCATAGATGCACATGCATGAATTGAATGGCATTCAAGAATACCTATATCGACTTTATCTACAAGTTTATTATTACGATTTTAAATTTGTAGCTTATTATTACGATGTCACGATATAAAACTATATGTCTAAGTGAACTTGCAATACGTACGTATCACATTTTTTGAAGCAAATTTCGAGCGAATATGTAAATGAACGATTATGAACGTGGTGTTCAAAAATTATGATCATAAATAATATAATATGTGGTCACATGCTATAATATAATCAAAGACGATCTTGCAGATTGTCTGCAATCGTGATAATGAACGAGATAATTGTTAGCTGGAATTTTTTGGTCGCTGTAGAGGAGACCGTCGGTTTTGACGTGTTATAATGTAATAAATAACGCAAAATATTTTAAAAATTGATGGATTATATCTAATCTACTGTTCTACCATAAATACTAAAATAAGCTTAATAATTATCTCTTACTTTAACACTCTGTACTAACTAACTTTTACGTTATAATATCTCAAATAAACAATTATAATTTCAAAACAAAAAAAAGAAATACAATAAATAATAAAAAATCACATACAGCAAACATACGTTCAGCGACAAACGAACGTCTCTCGTCAAACAATTACCAAAAGACAGCCAATTCTTCAGCGACCTCCATTCCAAACCAGTGATACCATTTTATTTTATTATTATACACGCTTTCTTTTGCAATTGTCTACCAAAATATCTAAAAAAAAAAAAAAAAAAAAAAAAAAAA